TGTAGACCTGTCCTGCCGCCCGCTGCTCCCTTAGCAGTGTATTTAGTTGGTCTGCCTGTTCTGTTCGTCACTCCAGCTCTGGTGAATTCTCTCACCCTCCCAAACTCTGACTGTAACCAGTGCTTGTATAAATAAATAAATAAATCTTTAACAAAAATTAAAATAAAATAGTGCATGACAGAGAAACTTGAAGCTATTATTCTTTTTTTATTCTTAGAATGAGAGAAATAGAATCATAAGTGTAGGGGTGGAAGGTCACTGAGCAATTTTCCTAGGATCTGAGCAGAGAGGGTAAAGGAGTCCTCCAGGAGCCCTTGGTGGCTTTCTCAGGCTTTTATTGATATTGAAATGTAGTGTGGCAAACAGGTACGTGGCAGGGAGGGATGCCAGGGGGGGCAGAGGGGCCAGGGGTGCCAGGTGGTCTTCACTCTGGGCTTCTCTGGCTTCCTTCTCCCCTTCTGTCTTCTGCCTGTCTCCTGCTTCTCTCCTGCTGCTTCTTTCCTGCTCTGTCTCTCTTGGTGACTATCTCAAGGGCAATCAGGTGACCATCAGATAGGGCAATCCTAAGGGTGGTAGGGCAGAAAAGCCTGAAAAAACATTTACCCTACAATAAGTTAGAACTTTTCTTTCTTCTCACAGCCCAGGTCCTAAATAAATTCTTAGCCATTGTATTGAATGAGGAGGAATTAAAAAGAAATACAATCCATGTGAGAATTTGCAAACTTTTTTAGCAGAAGGTGAAAGCGATTTTTTTCCCTTTGGGAGATGAAAGGGATATCAAGCAACAGATCCTGGGCAGGAGTCTCTCTAGGTGAGAATAATGCAGACATACACATTATGGATGACAAGGGAAAAACCAGAGAGCCAATCTCATGAATCATCTGGACACTGGCATTTTTATTGCCGGAAAACAGCCAGCAGCCAGTGCTGTCCATTTGCTTTTCATCAGCTGCCTCCTCTGTTAGTGGAGGAAAACTGGATGTGGAATTTGTCAGCCTTCTGCTTTGAGATGCTTCTCCCTGGATTGTGGTTGGTGCACAGGATGAATGCTCTGAGCTGGGGATGGGCAGCTCCCTCCAGAACAGACAGCTGCCCTGGTTCCCTGTGACCTGGAACCCAGTGGAGCACCCTGGGTCCCTGCAGGGGGACACACATGCCCACAGAGTAACTAGATTCTGCTTGCCTTGCTCTTCATCTTGGAGTGTGTCCTTCCCCCACTCCTATGCTGAGGCTTCTAGGCCATCTGTCTCCTCGCCAAGCTCCTCTTCTGATTTATTCTAGGCCTCCACCCTCTCAGGTCCCTCCATCCTGATTGCCCGGGTACCTGTACATGTGCATCTGCCAGGTGCAGGCACAGGGACAGGCCATAGACACACCTCCTCTCTGGCACCAAGGCCCGTGGCCTCCTTGTGGCTGCTGGGGATGGTCCATCTGTCCATTGAGCACAGGGCATTCCCATGGGACTGGGTGGACTCAGCTCTTTGCAAGATAAACTCGGTCCCACCTGGCAAATGCCCAGCTTCCTGGAAAAACTTCCAGACCTGCCAGTTGTGTGGTGGGAAATAAGTGATTTTGGGGAGGACAGAGACCTCCTGCCTGATCCATTTTTCCAGCTGTTGGGGGGTCAGGGAAAGAAGGGATGGGTGGTTCCCTCTTCCCAACTTGGCCTTCTGTTCTGTGTAACTCATTTCCATCCCCATAAGTTCCCATCAGGAGAAGCCCCAGGATGAAAGCATGCATTCCTGCAAAGTGGGCAGGAAAGATTCAAATCCCAACTTCCTTAGTTTTCACATTTTCCTAGTTCCACATTTTCACGTCACTCTTATTTCTTATCTCCATTCTTATATTGATTGATTATTTCCCTCATTTTTTGCACATCTTATTTCCTGAAAACATTTTCCCCTTATTTTCCTAATAAAAGTATTTTGGTGTATAAATTTCCCTCTTACTTGATTGTGGGATCTCACTGTCTTTGAAATGTAACAAATGTATTTACCCTTCATTTCCCATTCCTAGAACCTCCTTTGAAAAAATTTATTTAGAATAATAACATTTGCAATTATACTTAGGATGATGCTTCAGTTGTGAAAGATATGGGGTTCACATCACTGTTTTAATAGATTTCGAATTTAACTTTTTCTCAGAGGCGGTTAGTTTCACACATGCTCTCATCCCTTTAATGTGTTAACACTGGTGATAGTGTAGTTAGTATTTGCATATTATATGTAGTGTCCAGGAATTGTCTATGAAATCAACCAAAATGTGATGGTGGTCATGCTTTGTCTCATGCCATCTGACAAAGGTCCAGACATGGGGCAGAAACCTGAAGTCAGGAATGTCCTTTGCAGACTCCTGCTAGATTCTTCTCATTTGTTTATGGCTGGCTCCTACCGTATATGGCTATTATAAAAATATGCATTTAGAAGTGAAACAGCAAATGCTGTATGACCAAATACTAAATAACTAATTGGACAACAATGACACTGCTTGATATAAACAGTACATTTTGAAACAATTAGTATTTTTCTGCTTGGACGCAGTGATTTAAATTTTGGTTTTACAATTACAAGTGATATGCCACACTTAAAATCTTCTGGAAACTTAAGGCTGTAAAACATTCCTGGCCAAGTCTTTGAGATAGATTTGTGGTCTTTTAAGACAGAGACTGTCTGGAGATGAGTTTTAAATTTAGGGATAGCAGTTAAAAGAGACAGAAGTTGAGGTTAGAGATAGCAGTTAGAGATAAGTTAATTGGTAGTTGAAATTAGAGATAGTTAAAGATAATAGAAAATTGATGTTGGAAAAAACAGTTGATAAGATAAATAAAAAAGCAATAGAGAGAGAGGAGACTTGAAGTTAGAGATAGCAGTTAGTTGACAAGATAAATAAAGAAGCAATAGGTAGAAATATTGCCTGGAGAAAGTAAAAAGGAGTTTCCTTGTAAAAGCTTGGGGTTAGAAAAAAGTCAGTGCAACCTATGCGGCACTGAGATTCTTTGGGCTTTTTCATTCCTTTTAATGATTGACTGTTTTTATTAAATCAGAATAGATTAATTATAGAAATAAGATTTTTTTTTAATTTTGGAAGTAATTGGATTTGATTACCAATGTATAAGGTGATTATGTTTTTTCAATGTTTAATATTTAGGAATTTTATAAATTTTGATTACTTAGTAATTTAGCAGTTATAAAGGAGTTAAGTTTTAGTCACGTAAGTTTTTTGTTGTTTTGAGTTTTTTAGCATTAACACAATGATTACTGGGCAGTGGAAGATAAATGATTGTGAGGGGACCTGTCATGTGGTAACTGTAATTATCTTTAGGACAAATGAGATGGCCATTATCTCCTCAGCAAGGGGTGGTAGGTCACCAGTCTGGTTAGGCCGGTTTTGGGAAAAAATGCCCCAGTTGTTAGGCCTTTTTACTACTTGAAAGCATATGCTTGTGTACTGCCATGGTTTGCTTGAAATGTATAAGTAAAGAGTTGCTGAGACCCTCAGCAGGATGATACTTGCACCCTGATCAAGTGTCACTGTCTCCTCCTTCCTCTGTCCCTTTTTCTTCAAGGCGCCAACGCCATCTTTCCTGCAGGAACCCTGACAGGACAGTTTGCTAGATCTGGCTTCTGGCAAAAATGTAGTTTTAAATTCATCTGTTGTTGTTTTTTTGTTTGTTTGTTTGTTTTAATTTTTTGAGTGGTGGCCGCCCTGATGGCACAGGCTGTTCAGCACAGAGCTATGAAGCTGTCTGCAGCCTCTTTAAACATAAAATGAAATTGGGTCTCCCCGGTGGTGCAGCGGTTGAGCGCTGGGCTGCCAAGCTCTGCAGTGCTGGTTCAATCCCTGGCTGCCAGGTGAGGGTCCCACCTGGCGCACAGACCTCTCCTGCCGCCCGCTGCTCCCCTCAGCAGTGTCCTTCGGTCCTTCTGCCTGCTCTGCTCCCCGCTCTGGCTCTGGTCAATTCTCTCACCCTCCCGCACTTCTGACTATGCCCAGTGCATGTATAAACAAAACAAACAAACAAATAAAAAAAAATGTGTCTATTAAAAAAAATATCTAGCAGTTCTTTAATGTATCAATATATAATTTGATTAAGATCAAGGGCCTCCCCGGTGGCGCAGCGGTTGAGCGCTGGGTTGCGAAGCTGCCAGCAGCCTCTGCAGCGCCGGTTCGATCCCCGGCTGCTCCCCGGCCACCGGAGGAGGGTCCCGCATGGCGCGCAGACCTTTCCTGCCGCCCGCTGCTCCCCTCAGCAGTGTACTTCGGTCCTTCTGCCTGCTCTGCTCCCTGCTCTGGCTCTGGTGAATTCTCTCACCCTCCCGCGCTTCTGACTGTACCCAGTGCATGTATAAACAAAACAAACAAATGAATAAATAAATAAATAAATAAATAAAAACATGCCTCTATAAAAAAAAAAAAAAATACAAGCTATATGTATTTAATTAAAAGAACTAATGTGTATTTCTGATAAGGAAGGTACCATAAGTTTTTTGTATTATCAGTCCCAAGAAAGAGGAATGTGAACAACAGAAACAGATGATGATTATCTTAATTTACGCATATCCAATCTGTTCAAGAATAATTCTCCTATGAAAACCTAGTGCCGGGCCTCCCCGGTGGCGCAGCGGTTAAGCGCTGGGTTGCAAACCTGCCCGCAGCCTCTGCACCACCAGTTCCATCCCCGGCTGCCGGGCGAGGGTCCCACATGGCACACAGACTTCTCCTGCCGCCCATTGCTCCCCTCAGCAGTGTCCTTCCGTCCTTCTGCCTGCTCTGCTCCGTGCTCTGGCTCTGGTGAATTCTCTCACCCTCCCGCGCTTCTGACTGTACCCAGTACTTGTATAAATAAATAAAAATAAATCTTTAAAAAAACAAAAATGGGAATTTGGGCCGCCCCGGGCTTACTCGCAGGTGCCCACGGCACGCCTGGCTGCGGGCCACGCCCGGCTGGGCCCCCCAAAGTCAGCTCCTGGGCCCTGCGGTCCTGCGGCGTTGGTGGCTCCATGTCCACCCCTCCGTTGGCGGCGCCGGGCATGGCGCCCGGGCCCTTCGCCGAGCCCCAGGCGCAGCAGGCCGCCCGGGAGGTCAACACAGCATCGCTGTGCCGCATCGGCCAGGAGATGGTGCAGGACATCATGTACCGCACCATGGAGATCTTCCAGCTGCTGAGGAACATGCAGCTGCCAAATGGTGTCACTTACCATACTGGAACATATCAAGACCAGTTAGCCAAGCTACAGGATCATCTTCGCCAACTTTCTATTCTCTTCAGGAAGCTGAGATTGGTGTATGATAAATGTAACGAAAACTGTGGTGGGATGGATCCCATTCCAGTAGAGCAACTTATTCCATATGTGGAAGAAGATGGCTCAAAGAATGATGACCGGGGTGGCCCATCTCGTTTTGCAAGTGAAGAAAGGCGAGAAATTGCTGAAGTAAATAAGAAACTCAAACAGAAGAATCAACAGCTGAAGCAAATTATGGATCGATTACGAAATCTCATCTGGGATATAAATGCCATGTTGGCAATGAGGAACTAAACTGATATATAAATTGCGTGCTTTCCACATGTTACACCAATTTCTCCCTCAAGTACTTTTTTCTCTTTGCAAAAGATTATCTGTTTTTGTTCTAGTCATTGGAATTAAATTCCCTATTTTTACTTTTTATTTTAAAGTATTAATTTGCAAGGTTTTTTTTTTTTTTTTTCCAATGATTCTGTGAAAGATTATTGTAATAGACTTTCATGGGGTTTTGGTTATTCTTCACAAATTGTCTTTAAAAGCAAAATTAAGTGTTGTAAATAAAATTTTCAACTTGGTTAAAAAAATTAAAAAAATAAAATAAAATAAAAATGAAATAAAATAAAATAGTCTTTTTTTTGGTTTTCCACCACTTTCAACATATTGACTCCTTGCTCTGTCAATTAATAACTTGCATGCTACAGTGGCTCCACCACTGTTGCCTGAGAGTTTTCTTGTTTTCGGTAATATTGTCAGTGTCATTGCTAACAGGTTTCTATTTTTAAATATTTTCCAGGTACATGAAAGTTCACTTTTGCTGGGCCTCCCTGGTGGCACAAAGAGTTAAGAAGCAACCTATTAAGCTATCCACAGCCAGTGCAGCACACGTTCTATCCCCAACCAGGGAGCTAACCCCATGGTGCAATAGTCTCTCCTATCTCCGCTCAGGCATGTATTTCAGTCAGTCTGCTGTTCTTTCCCCACGCAGTCTCTGGTGGATCTTCTCACTCTCACCCCAACATCTCTGGCTTCTACCCCTGTTCTTTCATGCATCAATAAATAAATATTTTAAAAAGTTCATATTTGTTTTCCACATGTCACCCCTCTTTATATTTGTTGAAATTTCCCTTTTTCCAATAAAGTTCAGGATAACGAAATATGAATCACCTAGAAGACCCATTTTCATCATTTCAGCTGTGCTTTCTACTCTTTTAGGTCATATCTCACACAAGCAAAGGACCCCTTACGTTTTTATTCTGTTCTACAACCTGTACCTTTGCATTAGAGAATAATTCACTTACACAGATGGATTTTCCTATAGTCCTGGTGGGGGCTTTGTTGCCTGTTACTCAAAACATAAATGCATCAGAGAGGGACAGTATAATTAAAGGGTTATTTTAAGACAACAAAAATGCCACAACAACGCAGAGCCCACAGAACAACTGAAGAGAAGGACTGCACCAAATAAACGTCAGGACTCTGGATGTGAGGAAGACACATTTTAGACAGTTGATGGAGGACCTGTCAAACTAAACAAGTTTTGAAAATGAGCCAAACAAGAGACAAGCTGATGTCTCTCCTCCTGTGTTATCTTAGTGTAAAACATCTATGTTTGTCATCAATATGCTTGAAAGGGACAATCCCCAAATTCCAGGCTGGAATGCAAACTTGGTTCAGCTTTAGGACACTTCATATGTGTATGCAAATTCCTGGAAACAAAAATATACATATATTCCTTGATGCCCCATTTCTGAGAATCGAGGCCCAATGACTTAAAAATAAGGATAATATATTAGTTTGTTTTTCAAAAGTTCATGAATAAAGTGTCTCTGGGGTCAACATGCTTATTTATTCAATATTTCTTTCAATAGCATATAGCATTCACTATTCAATCCATCTGATATTTGTGTATAAACATGTTTAGATATAGGAAAAAATTTTAAATTATTTTACATATTCAGTGATGACCAACCATTATTAACGAGAGCGATACTATCAGTTTTTTCCTCAAGGATTACAAATGTACTTGATACATATTACGTGTGATTTATTTATTGTGTCTGGGTCTGGATACGGGAGTGTGCTTAGTCATACCTCTATCAGTCATCTCTACTCTTTACTATATTTATCCATCACTTCACCAGTATTATCTATTTGGATTAAAAATGAGTTTATATTGTTTTAATTTCTGGTAAATTACACTACTTTGTGCACACAAAACAAATCACTGCAATATTTAGCATATTATCCTTGGTTGTTATTGGAATATGACCATTGTGTCATACTTTCTGCACTTAATTGGGATTTTAGTGGAACACAGATAATTTACATATTTGTGTTTTCATTATAATCCCAAAAAATGGGTTATATGAGTATAAGTTATCCAAGATTTTTTTTTTTCTGAGTGTATAGTTGTAAAAATTCCTGCAATTGCTAAATTTCCATTTATTCACTTCTATGATAACTTATTTTCAAGTTATTATCATTTGATTTGTAATTGATTTTTAAGAAAACATTCTATTGTTTTGTCTACTTAACATGTATTGATGATTATTTATCTAGACCACCTTGCTAATACTAGTTTTGTTTAACCAGTCTGGAAATGTAAATGATTTAGTCTCCTATTCTAACATTGAAATAAATTTTAACACTTTGGAAACTAGACCTGTATAAAATGTGGCAACATTTATTTAGAATTTTTCACTTTTGTTCAAATGGAATTATTCTTTTTTGAATTGCTATTAATTTTTAAACAATATGTAAAACTTATACTCAAAATAAATTCAGACAATCTGCAATTTCCCAAGGTCAGTCAGCAGATTATGTCATCCCCAGTTTCAATACTTTGGCATAAACATTTGAATTAAGGGCAACTGAGAAGCAGTAAATACAGAAAAAAAAATCACTGTTTCATTTTTTTAATTTTTGGACTAAAAGCAAACTTACTTTTTGAAGTGTCCCTCCTCTGCTCATGCCAGGAAAGACAAAATCAGCCTGCAGAGAGCACAGAGGATGTACATATTTAGGTAACAAATTTGGCACAAGTTTAATCTCAACCCTTGTAAACCTAAAACCATCCTACTTTGTTTAAAAAAAAAATAATTGATATATGCATACAATAACTGGGGTATAAGCCAGGGGTGCAGGGGCTGAGAGGAATCACCAAAGAAAGGAGGAAGCAGAATAAGCAGATGTGCTGAAATACAGTGCTGATGGAGCAGCAGTTTAGATAGGAAAGTCAGCTGGGCCATGTGGGTTAGCTCACTGGCCGGCCAGGGATCAAACTAGTGCTGTGCGGCTGGCAGTAGCTTGATGGTGCGGTTTTACCCCCTGAAACACACGGAGGCCTCTCACTGTCCTTTGACCTAGCATTTCTGAAGACCATTCCTTTGCCACATCTTTTGAGGTCTTCCTTTTCCCTTGTACTGGCATGCCTGTTCATGAGGGAAGCATGCTATCTGTGTTAGCAAGCTTCTACTTGTCATTTTCTTGTTCATTTGCCTTATATATTTTATGAACTCATCCAAAACTCCAGCGGGCTAAGAGGAAATGATGTTTCCTCCCCCTACAAAGCTTTCTAGAGTAATCTGAACTAGTGCTTCACACCATTGAGCACACTGGAAAGGTATGAAGTTACAGCTCTACTCACATCCCATTACCATTGAAAGGCCAACACAGGGGTCAGGAATGAGGAAGCCCACATGGAAAAAGATAAGATAGTCCTGACACCAGGACCACTGATCGCATCAGACCTAAACTGAAGGAATACAAAGGCAAAAAACAACTCCGCTCCATGAATAACAACTTTGTTGCACCAAAACCTGTTCTCCCTGCCTCCGCAAACCCAGTTTCCCTGCCTAACCTCGCCTCACACTATAAAAGGATATCTCCCTGATGTGAGATGGTATCTCATTGTAGTTTTGATTTGCATTTCCCTGATTACAAGTGATGTTGAACATTTTTTCATATGACTGTTGGCCATTTGCATTTCTTCTTCAGAGAAGTTTCTTTTTAGCTCTTCTGCCCATTATTTTCTTTGTTTTTGTTGAGTTTCATGAACTCTTTGTAGGTTTTTGTGATCAGTCCTTTATCATAAATGTTGTATGCAAAAATGTTCTCCCAGTCGGTGGGGTTTCTCTTTGTTTTGGTTATTGTCTCTTTTGCTGTGCAGAAGCTCTTTAATTTGATGTAGTCCCAGCTGTTTATCTTTGCCTTCACTATCACTGCTTTGGGTGATGTGTCTGTAAAGATGTCTTTGAGGTGCATGTCACATAGTGTTTCGCCTGTATTTCCTTCTATGTATTTTATGGTTTCAGGTCGTATGTCTAGTTCAAAAACTAGCAACAAAAATGTTGGCGAGGTTGTGGAGAAAAAGGAACTCTCCTGCACTGCTGATGGGAATGCAAACTGGTCCAACCACTATGGAGAGCTGTGTGGAGATTTCTTGAACTACTAAACATAAAGCTTCCATATGATCCAGTAATTCCACCCCTAGGTATTTACCCAAAGGACACAGAAACAGTAATTCCAAAGAGCACCTGCACCCCTATGTTTATAGCAGTGCTATTTACAATAGCTAAGCTATGGAAGCAACACAAATGCCCAAAAAAATAGATGACTGGATCAAGAAGATGTGGTACACATACAAAATGGAATATTTCTGAGCATTCAAAAAAGATAAATACATGCAGTTTGCAGCAGCAACATGGATGGAGCTAGAAGGGATCATGCTCAGTGAAATAAGTCAGAAAGAAAAAGAAAAATACCAGATGGTCTCACTCATAGCAGGAATTTATAAAACCTAAAGAAGAGACCAGGAAAAAGACTAATCAATACAAAGTAAAAATCAAAATCAACAATCAACTATAAACCAGAGACACTCTACAGGTGGGGGTGTGGGGGGTGAGAGGGCTTGGGAAAGGAAGGGCTAGAGTCAAAATAAGGGGGGTGTGCAATTGTATGGGGAATATAACCAAAATGAAAATGCATACATTGTGCAAAGATGAAAAAATATGTAAGAATGATATAAAATAAAATAATTAAATTAATCCCCCCTTTGGGGTTGGCAAATCTTGCCCAGGGCTCAATAAAGTTTCTGCCTGTTAGAAATGGCCTGGCTCTTCTTCTCTTTCCTGCACCAAAACTTTCAACTATCACCCTCAGTGTCCATTCATTCACACTGATGTTGTAACAGGGAAGTCCCCAGAAAAACAGGGTGTTCCAGGTTCTCAACATCAACTACGGAGGATGGAGCTGAGGAGGAGGAGAAGCTGCAGAGAGGACTAGAGAAAGGAAGGAAGAAAGATGGGGAGCAAAGGGAGACCTGGAGGAGGAACATGGAGCAGAGAGAACAGTGAAGAAGCTGCACTTGCTTCCTGGTCTTGAAACAGGTGTTGGTTGAAATAGATGTGCCTGAGGGACACATAAGGGAGTTTAATAATGACAGCTTTTATTTGATTTTCATTGTGCTCCTTCTGTCACAGACATGCCAGTTCCCTTCTGTCCCTTTCCTCTGGGTCCCAGCAGGAGGTGCTTTACAATTGGCCACGACTCTCAGGACTCAGTGATGCTGCTGTTTTCCAACCCTGATGGCTGGGCATTTTACCCGAGGGAATGGGGTAACGTTGGATGCTTGGTTTGGAACTTTTATTCTTTTTTAAAAAAGATTTGTTGATTTATACAAGAACAAGATAGGCCAGATGTGTGGAAGGGTGGGAGGATTCACCAGAGACAGAGTGGGGAACAAAACAGGCAGACTGATGAAATACACTTCTGAGGGGAGCAGCGGGCATGACAGGAGAGATCTGCTGTGCCATGTGGGATTCTTGCTGGCCAGCCGATATCAAACCCATGCTGTAGTGGCTGCAGACAGCTTCACAGGGTGATACTCAACCCCCGGTGCCATTAGGGAGGCCCATGACAATTTTATTTTTTGTCTTTTCTGTTTTGCACAACAGCCTACTAGGCTGATTGCCTCACAGGCAATTCTGAAAGATCTGTATCCTTCGCCTTTTCCTCTGTCAAGAATTTGTATGCTAACTAACCAACTTTATCAATGTAAAGTGGTTATGTATAAAAGAAGCTCTTTTTCTCTTTACCAGTGCTCAGACCTGGGATTACTCAGGTCTGGGACCTCATGCATGAGTAATAAAGCTTCTCCTGACCTCACCAATCTCAAATTTCCACGTGCTCTTCCCCTGCCTGGGCAAAAAAAACTAGAATTTATTTCTGCAACACCATCAAAGCCCTTAGAATGTTCTCCTACAGACCACCTATTCCCCAATACTCTCTGGTATTGGGGAATACCAATACCTTGATAATCTCTGCCTTGATTCTACTGTCACATTTCTAGGATTCATGGCTATTAGTTATGTCCATCCTTTGCTTTGTCTCACTATAGTCCATATGTGGGTAAAACCACCTGGTATTTGTCTTTCTTTCTTCTCATTAATTTCACTAGCATATTGCTCTCGAGTTTCATTCCCATTGTCATAATGGGCAAGTAAATCACAGCTTTTTAATAGCTGCATAATATTGCATTCCATATAGAGTTTACTCCACTCACCTGTCTTTGGGCACTTTCTTGTTTCCATAACTTGGCTGTTGTCAACAGTGCTGCATTGAGCACAGGCCTTTAGATATTACCCCTTTGAATTAATGGGTTTGCATTTTCAGACATATGCCTCAGCAGAAAGAAAATGCTGCTTCATGGGCAGATCAGCTTTCAGGATTTTGAAAAACCTCCACAGTGTCTTCCACAGGGATTGGAGCTGCCCACATCTCCACCCACACTGAGTGAGGACTCCCACATGGGTGTCCCTAGAGGAAGTTCACTGGCCAAGTGTCACGCTGTGCAAGAAAGCCTCAGTCTCTCTACTGTCCCAGGAAAAACTCAAGGACTCCAAGCATCTTCCTCTCTTTGTTCTCCAATGGAACCTGAACACCGTTGGAGAGGGCCCCAGGCTGGTGTGTGCACAAATAAGTCTAAGGCCTTGCCCTTGGGTGTGACTACTGATCAGCATTAAGTGACCATTTGAGTGAGGAAGCTTCGAAAGCAGGTGATGTAGTTTACTGAGAAATAGACTTCTATTTTACAATCTTTTGCTTCATTTTGGCTTCAGAATTTGTCTTCCAGGTGACAGGAAAGTTGAAGTATTACAGGGAGCCCAAGCTGGCCTATGCTGTGAGAGATGGGCAGTCTAAGTGCCTGGGGCAGTGGAGGTCAACTGCTTTTCAGTGTTGGAGGAGGAGAGGACTTGCCTTTCAGTGTGAGGGGAGAGATTGAGCACAGCACTGGTAGGTTGGTCCGCCAGCCCTGTTGGGAGAAGAAATGGCACAGGGAGCTGACTGTCCTTGGCCAGCAGGGAGGGCAGGGTAACAGGTGGAATGGGGAGGTCATGGGCTGGTCTGGGTTGTAGCGAGGGTAGAGTTCTGGCAGGAGTGGTTGGGTGACCACACATACCTGGCCTACTGGCTAAATGCCCACTCCCAGATGACCACAGGGCTCTGAGCCTCTGCTTCCCAAACACCCACCAAGGGACAACTGGCCACAAAACCATCTCTGCTGCACAGTTCATTCAGTACCCTCCCCCACCCTATACAGAACGATGGTGCCAAGGGTCCACGTTCAGGTTGTTAAGGAAAAAAAATTCAGCCTCAGCAGGGAAAGAGCAAGTGGCACTCCAAGAACAAGCAAGTCACAGGTCATTATTATTATCATTATTATGCTGGCAGGACCAGAGGGAGGGTTCTCCTGGAAAGAACTGGGCCCCGGACATACATCAAGCCTTCCTTTTATACTCACTTACTTCAACATGGGCTACACAGGTAGGTTCAACGGATTCATGTTTATTTATCCTTCAGATGGAGGAAGATCAAAGGGGGAATACAGGTGTCTGTGACATGGGAGGGGGAAGGGGCCAGCGGAAGAGTAGAGGAGCAGGCTGGCCCTGCCCTCAGGCCCCCTCCTCCTAGCATGCAGCCCTGTTAGAGTAAAGACCAGACACAAAATCCATCAGACAAAAGGAGAATTTGTAGGTGAAAAGAGAACTCAAACTTGCTAATTGCACTGGGGTTGGAATGTTTATCTGGTAGGGCCCTTTCATTACCCCTGTGGTACCCCTTTATGCCCCAGAACTTTATAAGGCATCATCCAACTCAGGGGTAACAGCATTATTGCCTACTGGCTGGTAGGGTGTGAGGAGAACTGGAGATTATTTATTGATATTTGAGCAGACACAATTCTGTGAGCATATTAAGTAAACAGGGGCCAAAAGGAAGCACCAGGAATAGTGATACCAAGGGCCCAGTGAACAGCGTCAGCCACAGGAGCCATTGACTGAAAGAATCCCACCAGTTGACTATTGTATGGCTTCACACCTTCAATTAATTCAATACTGGAGCTAGTAGAGTGTCTCCTGAACCACTCCAAACTCGTTTGCATAAAAAAGACATTCTTTTAGGGCCTCCCTAGTGGCACAGGTTGTTGAGGGCCTCATTGTGAAGCTGTCTGCTGTCTCTGTAGCATGGGTTCCATCCTGGCAGGATGGCGAGAATCCCACATGGTGCAGCAAACTCTGCTGTCTTGCCTGCTGCTCCCCTTAGCAGTGCATTTTGTCAGTCTGCCTGTTCTGTTCCCCACTCTGTCTCTGGTGAAACCTCTCACCCTCCCACACATCTGTCCTGTACCCCAGTTCTTTTATAAATCAATGAATCTTTTAAAAAGGACATTATTCTTGTAGGTATAGACAGATACCGCCTTAGGAAGTGGTGAGGGGTTCTAATTCCCGCTGATTTGAGAGTACCACAGATGCCAGGGTGTCAAGGTGCTGCTGGAGGCATAAAGCTGACTGGGTGAGAAAGTCAAAGTCTGATTTGAGTTGGGTACTTAGTTCAGTATAATAGGCCCGCGATGCTCATAATCCAGCTGCCCCATGGCCACCCAGGAAGCAGCTAGCAGACCAACTACAAGTGTGATGGCCATGGGGACTCTTAGTATGGCAAGGGGATTTCCTTACCAAGAGTGTGTGCCTCCACATTAAGACAGATGGGTCAGGCATCACAGTGACTAGGAAACATGGCCAACTATATTCATGGGATCATGTACTTATGTACCCCCTGAACTCAGGCTAGGAAAGGGCCCTTTGGCTCACAGATCCTAGAGGTGTAAGTTAAAGGGGTTGAAGTATTTTCCAATAGTGGCACTGGACCTAGGACAGGATTTGAAGGGGAGTTAAGTGAAGACTTTGGAGGGAACACTTGTTGGTCTAGTATAGCGGACAGGACCTGGCTTCTTACAGACCCAGCAGTCTGAAGTGAGGGCCTCATTGGAGTGGTTGAGAGCTGAGTGCAACACATTAATCATGCCTGGAACACAGACATTTGTTGGGAGAGGTCAGGGGAAGCCCAAGGAAGTGGATGACCAGGGAGCTCCTTTGCCCATTTTAGAATTAATGTCAGGCTGGGTATGAATATTGACTTAATCATGAAAGTAACCATAGGATGTATTGGCAAACTCATCAGACCCAGTTGGAGCATGACGCTGCTATGCACATGGTGGAGCTAGGGTTTTTGACCAATTTTCAGGACAGTTACAGACAGGTACAGTCATCTCAAAAGGGGCATCAGGGAGGGGCTTCAGTGACCAGTGATATCTACATTCTCTTTCAATGGGCTGGGTGACCCAGGGCTGACATCTGCATTCTAGGGAACAAAAGAGTTGGCACATGTCAGGTCTTTCTGGGGTTGGACCCCACATACGCTAACATCTCTTGTAAGTAAAGTTGAATATTTGCGATAACACGAACATCACTGAGCCCATCCCATTGTGTATCAAGGAGCTGGCACCCATCTATCATGAGCTGGAACTAGAAAGCTTTCCATCTCCCAAGGTTTGGAAGGGTTTTTTGGAGGGTAATAGAACTCCACTTTCCAACCACAGTCACCTGGACTTCAGAGGAGAAGCCCCAACATGTGGCAGGGAGGGTGATGACCAAGCTCAAGAGAATATTGACAAGCAGGATCATTTTACAAGGCTTTTAAAGTCAATTATGCCCCAACCAGCATCAGGTAGTCTAAGGAGAGAAGGAATGGAGCTTTCCAGTCTCAGCTATCAGGAGTCGCCATGGCTAAGCCAACTGTGAGGAAGGCTGCCCTGGGATCATTTGGAACTCTGTCCTACTGAGAGGATGCCACCTTATAATCCTTATATCCTTATAATCGCCTTCTTGAAGAGCAGGACGACTTTGGTCTTATACTGAATCCCAGCTCCCCACACACATAGAGAGAACAAGCTGATGTTGTTTGCTCTGTGCCACCACCTCCTTCAGCACCTGGCCCTAAACTCCGGATATTCAGGGAATATCATGCAACCTCTGAGAGCTGCTTTACTTGTCAGCATCTAGCTATGGATTTTTTTCTCTTTCCATTCCTCATCCTTTCATTCACACCCTTCCCCTGATACACCGCATCTGAGGTGAGCATTCAGTCTTGTCTGCATTGTGTCAGAAAATAAATTTCTGTGCTTTGTTTCTTTCCAGGGACTTACTCACCAATGCTTTCATTAACAGACCTATTACTTTTCTATATTTGTGCTATTTTATGCTAAAGGCACAAATGACATAGCCATGACCTAACAGAAAGCAAGAAAAATAAATATTCTAGTTATGGATCTCATAGTCTATCCACTGATTATGAAGCAGTGTGTCTCATTTGTATCCTACATGGATATGCATGTGCTTATATGGGAGCACTTTGTGTTCGGAACTGATTAATTATGAAATTTACAGTTTGTTGTCACTGAAGCTTAGGCATTAAATTTCTGGGCCCAGAGGCTCTGGGAGGTAAATGTTACTTTATGTTCAATGAAAGGGCTTTTAACCCAAACAGAATGACTTAAAAATAAGGATAATCTTATTGGTTTTTTTTGGAAAGTCCAGTAATAAAGTGGCACCACAATCAACACATTTATCTGCACACACACATACACTTGGGCAGCCATCCCCTGGGGGATACTCACCTCTCCAGCTCATCCTTCCCTCTCTGTGTGCCTTCCTCCTCAGGGGATCCCTCATCTGCAGAGGATTTGGCACAAGTCCTGGTAGATGATCTGCAGGGGCAGCGGGGCAGGGCTCAGACGCCAACTCCACCCAGATCAGGTAACCCACCCAGGCCATCTAAGACGTTTGTCAGGAAGGAGCCACCTGGAAATCCTGCTAGAGCCCACAAATTTGTTGTCCGAGAGCATGTTGAAGAACTTCAGGCTGCTGTTGTCATGCCTGAAGTTATAGTCCTCACATTTTAGGCCTGGTGCCACTGAATGAGAGTGGAGAGAGAGGACCTGTATCCTGCCAGAAGAAGGCTGTGTGAATAGGCGCCTGCTGATTCCCATGATCATGGTCAGCCCGCCTGGAGTGATGGCCTTCACCGGTGATGTGCACGAGATACTCCTTGACGACCACTTCATTCTGGAAGTAGGGGTTGTTCCGAAAGAGCAAGGAGACCTTGCAGCAATTTCTGCGCTCTTCCACCTGTGGGACAAGGTGGAGGGGCGGGTGAGACCTCATCCAGGAGAACTACCCTTTCCTCACCCTTGCCAGGGATCAGTCCTTTCCCTGAAGCTTCCCCAGGCCCACAGACTCCCTTGGCCTGGGCTCACCTTCAGGTTGATCATGTAGCCCAGCATGTCTTCATCTAGGTGACTCAGCCAGGCTGACATCTGGGGGTGGTTCACAAACTGGCCTGGGTCAAGGAGCCTGCTGCCACTGAACAGGGCAAGGCTGGAGGCAGCCAGAGGCTGGTCTGAGAGAGCTCCACACCTCCTGGCCTGTGGGACCTGTCCTCCTAAGCCGGAGGTCACCAGAGCCTCTCCTCTGCTGCAGCACCTAATGCAGTGAGGCCCGCCCCACCCAGCTGATGTTGTGTATCCCTGCAGCAACACACAAAGTCCCCACTCCCTGGGAGATCCTCTTCCCACTCCCATTGTCTCCTTGAATGCTGAGAACCAGACACTAGCAGCCTCTGTGTGCATAGCTGGCTCCAAAGGTGTGGATCTGCCTGTGGCTTCATCCCCGGGCCCCTTGGTCACAGAATAAGGGTTTTGTGTGGAAAGCTCTCCTTTAGCTCATTCACCTGGTTTCCACCGCTGACTGCCAGATCCCCCACTGATTCCCTCCTGCACCTGCCCCACCAATCCAAGTCTGAGCACCCCATGGAATCACCAGGGAGAAGATCCATGTTGTCCACCAAGGCTTCTGGGCCAGCAAGTTATCAGTGTGCTCCCTCCAGGCCTTTGGTCTAGGAGGACCACTGTGTGGCCTGAGTGTTGTCCATACCTGACATCTCCCCCGATAGCTGCCCCTCCCAATCCTTTGCCCGCGAAGTCCTAGCCACAGCCCAGCTACACTGTGTCCCCGCCAGGGGAAGCAGCAGCAAGGATATGACTTTGGCCCAGAAGCCATGGACTTCCTGAATTATGGTGCTTTGGTGATCGAGATGGGGCTGCACCGCTGGCCCATGCTGAGCTTTTCAGGCTGTATTAGGCCCTGCTGGATTGCCAGTTCATTGGCTCCAGCTTTAACTGATGGGCCTGCAGCGCCTCCAAGAGGGATGGGGCGGTTTCTGCTGGTGCAGACACCTCGGGTGTTCCCATCACCAACCTCAGCCACTACCACCACCAAGTCTCTGTTCTGTCCAATGCCTCCCAGAGTCACCTCTTCTTCAGCCACCACCTCCAAGGCATCCTCATTCACCAGAACCAACACGTCTTCGAAATCTGCCTGCACACTCCTGGGCCAGGCCTCAGCTCCCTGCCCACCCATCTGCCTGAAGAAGAGGGCCTGCTCCTGATCACCATCACCCAGGGGCTCTTAGCAAGGGGCCTCCCTGGGTAACACTGCCCTGGGTGTGCGCTGCCCCAGATAATCTCTGGCCGGTGCCTCCTCAGGGCCACTCACCAGGGCCAGGGCCACCTTGGAGGAATCCCAGGGGCACCGCCTGTCCTGGGCATTGCCTCACCCTTCATGCTATTGAGGGCCCTAGGTGTGGGGAATCCCTACCATCAGGAGTAACACAATATGAGAAGGTGGAAGGTGTCAGCACTCAGGCTGGGGATTCCAGTGCGGGCCCAGCAGGAAGCAATCACTGCATTTAAATAGGACTATTTCTGCAAGGCAGACCTCTGCAGTGGACAGAGTGTTGCGTGCTCACAAGTTGGTCATGACACCAGATGGGACACTTGCCAGGCACACCCTTGCCGCTCAGAAACAATCAGGGAGAGGCTAGTGGGCAGCAACATGACTGGCCCACTCTCACTGCAGCCCAGTGGCTTAACCCACTGCATCTCCCAAGGCCTTCAGGCATGGGGACAGCTTCCATGAAGACCTCCAGCCTTGTGCCACAAAGCACCAGACTCCAGGGCCAGGGCCAGCCTCTCACTGGGCCACTAGGGGAACCAGCCCAAGGGTCACATATCCCCCACTGTACTGCTCCCTATATCCCTTGGGATATCCCCACACAGCAAAAATACCTCAAGGGGAAGGAAGTCTGAGCTATGTGTAGCGGTGAGAAATGAGAGCCAGTTGCACTCCAGGCTGTGACCCAAAGGGGATGAGGGTCTCTGGTTGCATGGGGCCCTGGGTGCCCAAACAGACTTTGAGTGGAAGGCCACTGATACAGGGGCTATGGGTCCAGGAGGACTTTACTGGGGTCTCTCTGTCTCCGTGTCTGTGTGAGCCAGTCTCTCCCTCATCCTCACCTCTGGGTCTCTGTCCCCACCTCTGCACAGGGGCTGGGCCTCAATCCCTCTGGCTCTCAGGCTACCCTTCCTCTGTGTCCCTGACTTCCCCACTCTGTGTCAGCTCTGAGAAGGTGGGCAGCTGCCCATGGCCCACTGTTTTCCAGCAGAGGACAGCCCTCCTCCAAAGAGGCGACTCCTGGACTGCTGACTCGGTGCATCCACAATTATCATGTATGTGGTGTGGGGGAGGAGTGAGGTACTGGTGCTTGCTTTTCAGCCAACAGAGTGGGACAAAGGTGGGAGACGACCTCCCTCCTGCATCCTGGACATGAGGCTGTGCAAGACCATGCCTTAGGACCACCATGTGGGCTTCCTACAGGGACGCTCCCTGGAGCAGGCTCTGTGTTGAGTGTGCCTGCAGGACCCCCTGGCACAGCCACACCACAAGCTCACCCTCCCAGCTCCCCAGCCTCTGCTCTGGCATTTAATCCTTGCCTCCTCTGACCCAAATCACTGAGGAAGGGATGGAGATTCCCTTCTGTGGAACTTGAGAACACACCGAGGACACAGCCAGGGGCCCTCCATGTTTTTAGCTGGCTTGCTGGGTCACTGAACGGTCTCTGCCTTTGTCCCTCACCAGAGATCCCACAGGAGGGTCTGCCTAGAAGCTTCCAGGCTTTTCATCCATTTGAAGACTAAGACAGTCTGGCCAGTCATCTGTCTTCTCTTTGTTCTGCGGGGAGCAGGGTGGGAGGCAGGGTGGGCGCTGAATGTCTCTGTGGGGACTGCAGCCCCAGAGGCTGCATCTCTCTAGGGCCTGGCTGTTGCCACCCCAAAATTTGCATGATGGGTTTAGGCCTTCACTGTGCCAGGTCCTTACCCTTTGTAAGAGAACATCACTGAATTTAAGCAGGCCAAATGCTTTTTTTAAATTTCTTCACTTGTAATAGTGGAGAACTGTAATTTGGTTTACACTCTTCATTGAATTGTAAAGCGTGCCCTAAGGAAAGAAAATCCAGAGAGCTTTTACAGAAAGAGAAAGGAAACGAGGGGCAGGGCCTCCCTGTTGGGGCATTGATTTAAGCACAGCACCATGAAGTTATCTGTGGCCTCTGCTGCAGGAGGTTGCCCTTGGGCCTGTCAGGTAGCTCTCCGTGTGATGCAGCAGACCTCTCATAGTCTAGCCATACAGAACACCACTGTGTTCCCCTCAGCAGTGTATTTCAGTCACTCTGACTGTTACGATTGCCGCAGTTTCTCGGTGAATACTCTCACCCTTTACTCCTCAGTTCTTTTATGTATAAATGAATGAACCTTCAAAAAGAGAAAAGAAAGAAAATGAGGTGAAGAGCAGTGGGATCTGCAAGGTAAAACGGTGACGAGGGCACAGGTGAAATAACCAGGTGAAGGTGTCACAAGTTAACTTTAGGTCATCATTGTCCTTTCAGTCCTTCTCAACCTGATGATGTTGCTGGTGGGCTGGGTTCTTGTGTTCTACTGAAGGAGGAATAATCACCGACACACCCGCTGAGGATTAACAAGCTCAGGTTTGTTGCAGGAGAGACTCCTGACTCCAGGAGTGGGTGCTAGGGAGAAACAGGTTAGGCCTAGATGCCCTTTTGCAGGGATCTTGGGGACTCTCTAATGTTCTTCAGCGATCCCCAGAGTTTTGTTCCCCTCTGGGGTGCTTTTCCACTACCCCACTTGACCTTGTCTCTTCCCTAGTCACCAAAAGGTGTGAATCAACAGCAAGCTCACACCAGCCAGCCTTGCTGTTATCAGCTTTTTCCTGCTGGCCCCCGCTCCCTCGATGTGCTGTTCTTCCTGTCCTATTGTGTTATTATTGGTTTCCCCATCCCAATGCCCTGGCTCAGTATATTCAGTGTACTTCATTTCTTTTGTTTTGAGGGTAGAGGGGGTAATGGGGCATCGGAAGTGGTGTATAGCTCTATGTTACTTGTTTTCTTCTTCTTCGGATATTTTTTTTGTATGTTTTTTTTTTTTTTAAGTAAATAGAAATTGTTTTAAATTCCCTATTTATTTATCATTCTTTTTTTTATGATTTCCTAATAATACATTGGGCTCTTGGATCATAGTCTAGCCATACTACTACTAAAGGGTGGTTTATTCTTAAAGTTTTATTTTGTATAATTCTTATATCATTTTTGATTTTTACACATGTATGCATTTTTCATTTTGGTTATATTCCCCATACAATTGCACCCCACCTTATTTTTACCCAAATCCTTCCTCTCCCTGTCCCCCCATGCCATAGTGTGTCTCTAGTTTATAGTTGCTTGTTGATTTTGATTTTTTTTGTATTAATTAGTCTTTTTTCCTGGTCCCTTATGTAGGTTTTCTAAATTCCTGCTATGAGTGATACCATCCGGTATTTTTCTTTTTCTTTCTGAATAATACATGGTATCATTGTTAGAGGTAAAAATCAAAGTACAGAACAATGGATATTTTATGCCAATATAGGGTCACGTATGAAATGGGAAAATGTATATATTTGATTTTTTGATAAGAAACAATTGTATGATAAACAACAAAGCAATGGCCACCTGTGGTGAGGGGAGCTGACAGGGTGGAGAGGACAGGGATGACAGTAGATTTCACTGATATATTGATGTTATTTGAGTTTTAAACCACACAACCCTAAAAATGGAAAACAAGCTGAGACAAATAAACCTAAGATCAAACTGGTAACATGATCACAAAGAGAAATACAAAGACTTCTTTAAAGTGTCACCAAAATAGAATGCTGACTCCATACCCTTAGCTGGATATATTATAAAGAGAAAAAAAAAAAGCAATCTTCAACTTTATTCAGTAGTGAAAATATTGATGTAGTTAAAGCAAATGTGGCAGAATGTTTCCAATGACTGAGCATGGATTGTGGGTATATGGACATCATTACAATATTTATTCACTTTTTCTGTATTTGAATTTTTTCATAATGAAATGTAAGACACAAAAAAACCGCTCTATTTATTGATTGATTTAGATTCATCGGTTTACAAATGATGCTAGTTAATCGAGACGACACTGTAGTTTGGGATGGCGACCCCAGCTCCACTTCAAAAGGGTTCTCTTCTCACCTTTCCCACTGTTCCCTCAATATCTTCCTCTGAGCACCACTGATCAAGTATTGGAAGGTGCTGCTGGTCACACATTGGACTGAATTCCCTCATGTGCACAGCTTTGGCTCCCTGCTGACCAGCACTTGTTGTTACCGAACACCGGCCTCAGTTTCCCTCAGCCAATAAAAGGAAATAGAGTTTGAGGAAAAGGAAAGTGGTTTTATTTGTCGACAAATGAGGAGGGCGGCAGACTCATGTCTTAAAGACCACCGTCCTGCTCTTTGGCAGTGGGCAGGGGTATTTACACTAGGGGGAGATGGGTAGGAGTTGGCAAAGGGGAGAGGGGAGGGGCCCACACGGAGACAAGTGGGCGCCAGCTCAACACGGAGATGGATGGGTACCGGCTGGTTTTCATCAAGGGGAGGGGGAAAGTGTCAGCACAGAGACAGGGAAGGTGTCTTCACAGAGACCGGTGGGTGTCTGCTCATTCATCTGAAGGGCAGGGGAAGGTGTCAGCTCAGAGAGGGGTGATCACCAGCTTGTTTTCATTAGGGGGAGGGGAAAGGGACTGCATGGAAACTGGTGGGTGCCAGCTTGTTTTCTTCTCAAGGGGAGGGGGAGGATGCAACAAATGGGGAAGACAAGGGCAAATTGCAAGAAACGGGGAAAAGACAAACTTGTTAATTGTATCATTGTCATTTCTTATGTGTCCATCCCAGTCTGCAAGGAAACTGTTCTCCTTATTAAATGCTCTTTTTCATAGGCTTCTTTACTATAAAGACTCATATGCCCATAAGTTCAATTAGCTGAGAGATATGAAACTATGATTAGAATTTGATAGTGTCCTAAGACTGAATATGGAAGAAATGGAAAACCTCACTCAGCCAATATCAAGCAAAGAAGTTGAAACAGCCATCAAATCACTTCCAAGAAAATAAAGTGCAGCAGAAGGCACCACTAGTGAACTCAAAGATAAACCTGTAGCTAGCTTGCTCAACTT